GGCTACAAGAGGCCAGGTATGGTGGCTCAAGCCTGTACTCCCAGTACTTTGGGAGACTGAGGTGGCATTGCTTGAGGTCAGGAGTTTAAGACCAGCCTGGATAACACAGCGAGATCCTATCTCTACAAAATATAAAAATAAACAAAATTAGCGAAGTGTGGTGGTGCATGCCTGTAGTCCCAGCTACTCAGAAGTCTGAGGCGAGAGGATTACTTGAGTCCAAGAGTTTCAGATTTTCTACAATTGTTATTATTTTAATATACAGGGTTTGGCAACTTGCTCAAACTCTGGCCATAGCTGACAGAGAAGGAAAGGAACAAGGGGACACCAAAGACTCCTCAAGGGAGTAAAGTAGAATGGAAAGACTAAAATTTTCAAGAGTCCAAATGTTCAGGAGACCAATTCTAGCTTTATTACTTACTACCTAAGAGTAAGTAATTTGAGAAATTTATTTAGCCTCTGAGCTCCAGTTTTCTCACCTATAATTTAGGCATATTAACAGCTAATTTGCTGGACTTGCATGAAGATGAAACAAACTTATTGGCTAATATATATGGGGGGATTCAAAAAGCTTGGAATCTATTTATTAAAAAGTGCATATTTATTCTTACACGTTTAAACTTTAGTCACCTTCAAAGTACTAAGTATTTATTTTTCACTGCCCAAAACAGTTTCTGAGCTCGTCAATTCTGATGCCTTCTAGTGCTCCTGACAGTCTTTGTTTCCCCTCTTCCACATCAGCAAAACATTTCCTTTTGAGGACTTTTTTCATCCGAAGAAATAAAAGTTGCTTAGAGTGAGATCAGGTGAACAGGGAGAGTGGGGCACGGTGCGTGCTGTTTTTGGTCAAAAACTGTTGAACACTCAGTGCAGCGTGGGCAAGTTGTTTGTGTAAATCACTCATTATGAAATGGGCAAATGAATTGAAAGAATCTCCAAAAAAAATTCACTGAAGCTGAACGCAACTGCTCACAATAATGCTAGCTGGTACACTGTGCTGATGGGTTCCTAGAATATTCTCCTAGTGGAAGAAATATGTACTAAAAGGGGCCTGCCTCCAAAAAATAAATTCAGGGTTTTTGGGTCCCCCTTGTATATACCTAGAGCTGGTTATTCATCAGAATCACCCAGGGTGCTTATGAAAAAGACAGATTGGTGGACTCCACCCCCATCTACTAAATCAGGAATTCTACAGGTGGGGCCTAGAAATGTATAAAGAATGTCATTTTAATATGCACTTTTAAATGCATTTCTGATTTTTATACAGTCACTATATTTGGGAATTATTATTTTAAGAAACCACTATTAGAAGTTCACATAAATAAAACTTCAGGAATATTTATAATAGTATATATAAACTACATTATTATTTTAAGTTATTATTTAGCTTCGTGCCAATTAGACTTCAAACTTTCTGAGGACAGGATGCATGTATTCCTCCAATCGCCTAGTGGAGAATTATTAGACACACAGGAGCTTTGGAATAAATACTTGTTAAATGACTCAATGAGTAAGAATAATAACTAATTATATAAAGAATAAAGTATCAATACCATTTTTACATAATAAAATTGAAAACACTTAGACCTTGATATGACATTATTCCTGACAAAGAATAATGATACCATCTTCACATTAATCCAGGCAGGTAAATACTAAAAGGATCTTACTCTAAGGTATTTCATTTACATGTGGCCTCATGGCATATGGCTCAGTAAGTTAATAAAGAACTTTGAGGTATAGACCAGATGGCCTCCATAAGCCCTTCCATCTCCTCTATAAAAAGGTCACATTTATGCTGAGTCTTAAAGAAATCAACTGGATTGTGACAGAATAATTGCAGAAGAACACTTCCAGGGAGGTCATCATATTTAGAATGATGATTCTTCTAGTGAGGAATAAAAAAAAAACAAAGATAAGAAAAATAAATGAGCTGGGCACAGCTTTTGCCTATAATCTCAGTACTTTGGGAGGCCAAGGCAGGAAGACTGCTTGAGCCCACGAGCTCAAGATTAGCCTAGACAACATAGTGAGACCTCATCTCTAAAAAAAAAAATTTTTAATTAGCTCGGTATGGTGGCGCACACCTGTAGTCCCAGCTGTTTAGGAGGCTGAGGCAGAAAGACTGCCTGAGCCCAGGAGGTTAAGGCTGTGATGAGCTGTGAGCTGTAATCATACCACTGCACTCCAGCCTGGGTGACAGAGTGAGATGCCAACTCAAAAAAAAAAAAAAAAAGAAGAAGAAGAAGAAAAGAAAGAAAGAAAAAACAGATTAAAGTACTTTAACAAAAGATAAGTAAGCTGGGCTTGGTGGCTCAGTCTGTAATCCCGCGCTTTGGGAGGCTGAGGTGAGTGGATCGCCTGAGTCCGCAGGTTCGAGACCCGCCTGGGCAACCTGGCAAGACTTCATCTCTACAATAAATCAAAAATTAGCCGGGAAGCTGAGCTCTGTGGCTCAGCCTGTAATCCCACGCCCTTGGGAGGCTGAGGTGAATGAATTGCCTGAACCCGCGGGTTCGAGACCCGCCTGGGCAGCAAGACCTCTTCTCTACAATAAATAAAAAAAATAATTAGCTGGGCGTGGTAGCACGTGCCTGTAATTCCGGCTACTTGGAAGGTTGAGGCGGAAGGATCGCCGGAGCCCAGCAGGTCGAGGCTGCGGTGGCCAGGAGCGGCCACTGCACTCCAGTCTGGGCGACAGAGTGAAACTCCAACTCAAAAAAAAGATAAGTAGCAGAAAAAGAATGAGGGTATGAAGCTGAGTGCGATGGTACATGCCTATAGTCCCAGCTGCTACAAAGGCTGAGTTGTTGCTCAGGCTAAGGAGTTCAACGCCAGCCTTGGCAACATGGTAAGACCTCATATCTTAAATAAATAAATTAAATAAATGATTATCCAAAAAGGATTTAAACGTGGCATTTCTTCCTAAAAGAAAGTATGCTTTTAAGAGATGTGTGAAAATAGAATGGGTGGTGGACAGCGGATTCCACTTTTCTAGCATGCTTCAGGACACCCAGAATGCTAAGCTGTGTTTTAATGATGGAACCCAGCCTAAAGGAGAATTCAAAGACATTTCTTTGTGCATTCATGAGTTCACTCTAACCATCGGGCACGACCACTAGGCAGGCTGCTGACCTGGCCAGAATCGGGGCAACATTTCAAGCATGAGCAGACACATTAAGGAGCTTCTCCAAAAATAAGATCACAAGGTCAATTATTGAAATCTGTGAGAGACAGAAGAGAGAGGAAAGGAAATCGAAGGAGAAATATATATATATATACATATACAATGGACAGTGTGATTACAAATGAAAGCAAGAGGGGGGCTTATCCATTTCTACAATATATTCTGTGAAACACTGAACAGAATATAAAGTGGATTAGGCTTTTTTTTTTTTTTTTTTTTTTTTACCTGATCTGAAACCAGGCAAAGTGGGGACCAAGAATTAGGCTTTAAGAAATGGGTGGGGGAGGTGCAAACCAAAATCCTCTTCTTTATTAGATGTATCAAATTTTAAGCTGAAGAACATATTTCTCACATTGTAAAAGAAATTAATGCCCTCATATTTGAGGTGCTCTGTTCACTGCATTTTTTATTTATAATTTTTTAAGATATAGAAGTGAAAACGGCAAACAAAAGGTAGCTAGAGAGACACAGGAGCTTAAACTGGCTCTGTATTCACTAAGAGGACATTAATAGGAACTGAATTAAGATATATAAAAATATGAAGAAAATGAGAAAGATAAACAATAAAAAGTATTTTCAGTTTGTGTTAAATGCAACAGACTTTAGAAGTATTAACAGAAGAGGCCAGAATAGTGAGACTTTGAATGTATCAAGAGCAAAACTCAATAGACATTCAAGAAGGACTATAGGAAGTCAAAATGAACATAAGGAAAAAAAAGAAGTGAATAAGATTTGTTTCTACACAGTCATCATTTAGAAGCAGTCATTAAGAAAATCACACCTACTGAGGATACTTGAGTCTATGATCACAGTAGGAGAAAGAAAGCAAGAAGAACTTTACAGAGTGTGGTTTAGCACAAAGAAATTGGTCCTTGTGTGCATCCAGAGCTGAATACAAAACCTGGTAATATCACACTACCACCTCTTAGCTGTGTAACTTTGCTAAGTTAATCAAATATTTGAGCCTCTGTCTTATCTGTAAATGACAACAATACCTATACCTTGCTAGATCACTGTATTAGAAATAATGCATGCAAAGTGCCTAGTACAGAAGTAGGTGCTGCTGGTAATACAATAATCATTACTATTGTTAGTCTTATAATTACTGTGTAGCAATGGAGTCAGTCAATAAATATTTATTAGGCATGCCAATGTGATACTGGGAGGCACTGAAATGGTATAGAAGACAGATTGCATATATTTCTTTTAAAGGACAGAAAAAAGAGAAAGTCTAGAAAACATAACAACTATAAAATATTTTAATAGCACTTTACTTTTGAAATTGTTTTTTCAAATATTCTCTTATTGCTGAAATTGAAGCTTTAAAAGTACATAATATGGCCAGCCTTTATACACATGCCATATGAACACATACAGCAAATGCTAATACCAGCAACATAATGATTTTTTATGCTCAAGAAAGAGAATTAACATATATGCAAAAAAAATTAATGAAGCAAAGGAAAGTCAAGGTTGAAAGTGCCAAGAGGAATCTATAACCCAGAAGCCCATCCAAAATATCAGAGTACTCCTTAGCCTAAAGAACAAAGTATTGGCATGACAGTTTGTACAAAATGTCCCCTGCACACATCAATCCCTGTGACCCAGAACGAAGGGTGGCCAAAAAGACAAGACCTAAATAACACACAGCTCCAGGAGACCAAGGAACATAAGTAAAAGAGTTCAAAGCTCAAAATACAAGAGGTTTCTTCCCAGAGGATTTTTTAAATGAATTAAAAATAAAAATTCTTGCATAGTAATACAAACTAAATGTATAAATCTCAAATTAAGAATTAAAATTATTTCCATTTACCTGATTGCTTAGAATTTCTTTCTTTCCACTGAATATTTTTGCATTTGATCTGGTTTTGTCTCTCTTTTCGAAGTCGTTCTAATCTTTGAGCTTGAAAAGAAATATTATAACTATAAGTTTGTCAATGAAAGTTTACCATAAACAAAGACATAATTAACTACCTTTATATGAATAAAGATGTTTTATATTGTATATGTAGGAAAAAAGTCATAAAATTTTAAAGGTGGCACCCCTGAAAAGCAAATACCAACAAAAACATGAAAATATCCTTGATTTATAATTGAAATTAGAGGATATAAAACATTAATAGAGATCATAAAGATAGTATTAACATGGAAGAGAATAATAAAATGTGAAAACTTCTGTGATTAATATGACATTTCATTATATAAATCATTAATAACGGTCTTAAAGGAATTTTAATGCACAAATGAACTGAAGTGAATATTACATTACAGGAATAAAATTACTGTTATGAATTACTCTACCCGTTTCAAAAATTAAAGATAAATGAACTCAGACTAGACTATTAAAGTTTTAAATATAAAATCCTTTATCTAAAAATCATGAAAATTATAAAATGTCAAAGCTATATAAATTAGCATAGCTTTTCTTCAGTGGGTTGAAACAGTTTATAGGTAGTAAAATAAATGATTTGTATCTTTGTAACATTAGTCAAATCTTAAAAAGAACAATTTTTCTTTTACAAAATTTTAAGATATGCTGAAAGGATTAAAAAGTAAATTCCTTGGTCACTAGTACAACCCACAATCTCAATTAATTATTAGCATCTAAGTGCTACATAAAGAAATTCCAACAAGAGTCACCTAAAATTATGCATTTGTGATTATATTGCCATTGGCTGATCTACCTTCAAAAGTCAATGAACTGATCCTTTAAGAAAATACCATCCAGCATCCATTAACAAATATGTACAGAGACCACAATGGAAAGAAAGTTACAATGGGTGCCATCTTTGAAACTATCTTTCTCTGCTAATCTTCAATTCTCTATTTTGGCATATTGCTAATTGAAAATAAATAAAACTAACTTCTTTTTAGTCTCTTTCAAGGTAGGAAATCATACATTCCTGCCTTAGTAACATAGTAGGGAAACAAAAATAATATTGCCAGAAATGTAAACAATGCTGGAAAAAACCTTCTGACAATGTCACTATATCTACTATCAAATTCCACTGAAGAAAAATATATTCAATTGCAATTAATAAATGTGAAGGGTACAGCCAAAGTAATATAATCATAAAGCTCTCAATTTAGCAGCATTCTCCTACTGAAATCCATTCAATCTGTCATGTAAGATATCATCTCAATAACTTGCAAGGAAGTCAGTTTCAACTAGAGAACTGAGAATCAATGGTTCTAAATTACATTCAAACCTTCACTCAAATTCTATTTTGATAAAAGCTCCTTTAGATACTGGGAAATGCTATTAATTATTTTCATCATGAGAGCAAATTATTCTTTTTGATGTCACAGATGCTGAATTCTGAACCAAAATCTTTCACTGTAAATTGTATCCAGTTCTACCTGAAATATTTCCCTTATATGCATTTTACATTTGGACTGTGAAAATACTTATGTAAATATTTTCAATGCTCTACCATATTGTCTGCAATTACTTTTCCTAGGAGTTAGCAGGTTATTGTTGCTGATTTGGATACTATATTTTCTGATTATCTTTTAAAAATTATCTCTAGAATAGTTTGTCCTACTAGAACCACAATATGTATTCTAAATAATTTATCTAAGTGAAAAAAGGCCTTGGTTTATCACATTCCCCTTGAAAGGCAACCAAAAAATATAAGCAGAAAAATGGACAATAATAAGCTCTGGAAAGCTAACAGTTAAAATACTTATACCAAAGTCAAGCATTTCAAACCAAAAATATCAAAAAGTAATGATCAACTTAGGAAAAAAAAGTTAAAGAATCAAAAACAAGGGTCGCCTTTATAACCTCATACCCAGTGTATGGATTCCTATTAAGACCAGCCCTAAAAATACTCAGGTATGTTCCCCCACAGTCCCCTGTCCCCACAATTCTTCCACTGGCAAGAACTTTTTATTAAAGGTTCTTTATTGTGTCAACCTGAAATCTGCCTCCAGGTAGTCAACCTCCTAGCACTAATGTTGCTCTGTGAAGACACTCAAAACAGGTCCACTTCTTCAACACGATGGCTTTTTAGGGAGGTAATATTTAGCACATCTCTCCTAGCCAACTTTTTCAGCTATTCCTCTTCTGTCTACTTCCTTCTAATAACATCAACATTCAGTTGCCGAGATGGAGATGTTGCTCAGACTCACTCAGGGTGACACAAGCATGTTCCTGTTAATATACAGAAACTTCCCTCATTAAGTCTATTCCAACATTACGTATTATTCCATAAGACTGTTTACTGATTTAAAGCTCAGAAGACATGACTAGAAGACAATGTTTACCTGTGTTTGAGCGTCTTCTAATACCAAAGTCCCAACTTGAGGTAATATCGACTGACTGGGCATATACATAGCCCTGAGTCTCACCATTGCTTCCCTGAATTTCTGACCCACTGTCTCCAGGCATTGAAGGAGGATGAATCTTCTCTAGGTCAACATCATGATCAATGAGAACCATTTCACACATTCCCGTGTCATCACTGGTCACATGTGACTGTCGAATATGAGCTAGAATGATAGTTGGATTGTCCAAGAAGGCCATCCTTTCTGTGGGCCAATTTCCTTAAAAGGCTATTTTCTCCTCTTCATATTGTTTCACGAGCTCACCTACCTAGAAACATGATGTACACAGCAATATTTAAGAATAAGACAGAAAATGACTGAATCATTTTTCAAACAAATTCAATGTAGTCAAATGCTACCTTGAAAATCAGCATTTATCCCTGTGCCTAGGAGCTTAAAAGGATTAAGTCTAAGCTGAAAGGAAATCCTTACAAGCACTAGGGGCTACAGCTCTAGTCAATGAGATCTCCATGGAATCAGAGGAAGGCTTGCTCTCTTGCAAAACAAATAATAGTAACTCCTTAGTCAGGGTACTCAAAGTACATAACTACTGGTAAAACAATAAATTTTCCTTTCTTCCTCCTTTCACTACCATGCAGTCTTCTCATTTCTTTATAAGGTCATTGGGGAACAAGTTGTATTTTCCTCAAATGATGTGCTAAAGTATAAAACTGTATTTCATCAGTTTACATTTCCCCTCCTGTCATAAGGTTGTGAAGTGTTTAAAAGGACACAGGCAATGCTTTCTCAGTTACTAGGGATTTTATAAAACATACCACCAAAGTAATTTTGCTCACTATACAGACTTTCTTTCGATTTAAGATAGTATTGCGCTTTTAAAATAAAACATATGAATAAAAATTGCCTACTACAAGATTAATTTATTTTAGAAACCTAATTATAAGAATGGCTTCTTCAGTTCTGTTAAAACTGTAATGATGTTTATCCTAGGAACAAGATGGTACCGTCTCAGTTAAATAAAAATACTCAACAAAGAAAATACTACAGAACAGTAGTTAGGAGTTAGACCCTAGAGACAGAATTGGGCTCAAATCCTGTCCCTGTCACTTGCTAGCTATGTGAAGTTGGTCAAAATACTTAACCTTTTTGAGCCTCTTTTTTTTCTTTCTTCATTTATAAATGGAGGTTTCAGGGATGAAAGGATATATAGGAGGTAATACAGGTAAAGTGCTCAAAAGAGTACCTGGCATGTAATTCAATAAATATTAGCTGCTATTAATAATAATGACGGTGGTAAAAAATATCATGAATAATTTTAGCTTTCAAGTCTTTCAAGTAATCCTAAAATGTATCAAGTTCTCATCCCTCTTTAGTAAGTTTACAGCAAATAGAATAAGTCTGTGCTTCCTTTGTGATAGAGGACTGCAGGTCATCTGAGTCACCTCCCTGCTCCTCCAAAATCATTTTAGAGTACAAGGAATGTGAGAGTTGGATTGAATATGTTCCTAGGAACAATCCTAGCTTTTTTTTTTAAGAGTCTCACTCTGTCGCCCAGGCTGAAGTGCGGTGGCATGCAGTGGCCACCGCAGCCTCAACCTGCTGGGTTCAGGCGATCATTTCACCTCAGCTTTCCAAATAGCTGGAACTACAGGCTCAAGCCACCACACCCAGCTACTTTTTTGATTTATTGTAGAGACGAGGTTTCACCAAGTTGCCCAGGCTGGTCTCAAACCCCTGGACTCAGGCAATCCTCTCGCTTTGGCCTCCCAAAGTGCTGGGATTACAGGATTAAGCCACCATGCCCAGTGAAGATATTTATTTATTTATTTATTTATTTGGTCGCCCCCTCCCCCAATATTTATTTTTTAAAAGACCCATAACATCAAATTTCTTGTCATTTGTTTCTTCTAGGAATGAAAAATCTAATTAACAAATCTGAGGTTTTAAAATTTTTTGTCTGGTAACACATTATTCTATTAACATCACCTAGTAGATCTTAAAGATACTGAGATTAAAAAGGAAGTTTAACTGAGGGGCATCTCTAATCAAGTGAATTACATTAATCTTGGCTTTTTTCCTTTAAATATATTCACTGAGTTCTTACTCTGAGGCTAATGGGAAATGCAAAGGTAAGGTACCCCTGAATCAAAAAGTGTATACTCTAATAAAGATGTAGTACCTTTCCTAATACCATGGGATTCTTTTAAGCATCACATTTGAGACATTTGGTCTTAGAATTGTGCCAATCCACCATTTTAAGGATATTAATAATAACAAATTACAAAATTAACAGGCAATATTTAAATTTCACTTGTAAAAATAACTTTTTCTATAACCACAAAAGATGTACACACCATAGATTTATAAATAAGAGTATCTGCTTTGTCACAGAATCATAGCATCACAGATCACCAGAGTTGCAAATATCCTTGTACAGCAATCACAACAAGCTGTCTTCTCGACATGAAAGGAAGGCAACTAGTCAGCAGCAGAGGGACAGGTGCTTCCAATTTCATATTGAACAGTGTGCCTTGCAAAAACAAGGGCTTCAAGGAGAAGCCACACATTTAATGGGTGTTCTGCCACCATAAAGTCAAATGGCAAAAGGAAAAGCAATAAATGTGTACTGAAGTGTGTTCAACAAAATATTTTTCAGGAAAATAGATCTGCTCCATCACCTCGTATGAAGAAAAGAGGAATGGGCAAACACCTCATGGCACACATGAGTTCCCCAACTTTCTCCTTGCAGAACAGAGGTGTCAACACCAGCAGGTATCTTCTCTATTAGAACACTGTAACTTCATACATTGACCAATCTGTATGATTGGTCATAACAAGTATTTATTCAATAGTAGTTCTGATAGAGAACTCCCACAGGACTGCTTGGAAAGCATGCTATTGTGTGTCTCTTTTCACCTTCTATTACGTTTACTTGACTACAAGTTCCACAAAGACAGGGTCCATAACATCACATCCCTTCTGGCAACAAAAGATGTTACATATGGCAGGCATTCAATAAATGTTACTGTTCAACTTCCAACGACTATCCAATTTTGTTGTAGAGATAAGTCATATATGAGTGTGTCAGGTGTGTGATTATAAAGTGTGGTTATAAAGAAAGAATTGCCTTTTATTTTTTCTTAATGCAGATACAAGAGCTTCTCTTCAAAGCTGTCACCCTGGGACACTAAGAACTTATTCCAACAACATTACTCTTCAAAATCAAAAGGATACTTTCTAAATCTCCTTAAGAGCAACAAATTATCACTTGAGGGTATATTTCATTTCTAAGACAAAGACATTGAGAACACAGATTAAAAACAGATTATTTTCTCTGATCAGTTGTGCAAAGAACAAAAAGATTTTTAAAAATCTAATCCTGGCAGGGATTCAGAGAAATGGGTACTCTCATGCACTACAAAAAGGAATAAAAATTGTGACTATTTAGAGAGTAATTTGGTCATATTCACCAAAATGTAAATCATGAATGCCCTTTTGGGGCAATCCCACATTTAGGATCTGCTCTAAGGAAACAATCATGCAAAATACTTACTTCAAAATCATTTTTAATACTAAAAATCTGAAAGTAACCTAATTATTCATCAATAGTGCATATGCCACGACACAGACATACAATGCAATACTATGTAGTGATTAAAAACACATGGCAGAGGATAAACAAAATATGGTATATACAAACGATGGAATATTATTTAGCCTTAAAACACAGAAAATTCTGATACATGTTACAACATGATACAAGGTTTACGGAACTTGAGGACATTATGCTAAGTGAAATAAACCAATTGCAAAAAGACAAGTACAGTATGATTCCATTTATAGGAGGTACCTAGTGTACTCAGAGATACAAAGTAGAATAGTGGTTGCCAGGAGGTGGGTTAATGGAGTAATGGGGAAAAGTATTTAATAGGTACACTGCCATCTGGGAAGATGGAAAAGTTCTGGAGATGGATAGTGGCGATAGTTGCACAACAATGTGAATGTATTTAATGCCATTGAACTATACCCTTAAAAATGGTTAAATGGTGAATTTTATATTCTAATTATACCATGTATATTTTACCACAATTTTAAAAATTTAAGCTAAAAAAAAGGTCTAGGAAGCATCAGATTAATCTAAGTTAAACAGGTTTTTTTTTCTTGCTGTTTAATCACAGGGTTTCTCAAAGCTTTCCAACTGTGTACTATGTGTATCATGAATCTTCAAGAGTGAGGAATCTAGTAACACAATATATTTCAAACTTTTTTCATTCCTAAATATAGTTTCCTCTGGGAAAACTAAAATATATCAATGTATAACAGAGTTTCACAGAACATGGTTTAGAAGTGCTGTCTAAACCTTTATAAACTCTTGTCTCTTCAGGTCTTGAATGCCTTTCCTAGATGTTACCCATTCTTGACTTTGAGATAGTCGGTCCTTTTTATACACCTTTAGTCTACAGATGAAAAATAATATCAGGCTCTAAGGGTCAGCTCTCCTAAGATGCTCTACTTTTCACAGCTTCTTCCTCCTACTTGTTAACACCAGGTTCTTTAAAACATAAAGATTTGTGTTACGAAAGATAGAAGCAATTCACACAGAGTGGAAAAATAGTAAGAGATGTCCCAAAATGACACAGTCATTTTAAATGTACTGGGTGGTTCTCCTTTTACACTTCATTTATGCAACAAATATTTACTACTTTCCTACTATGTGTTAAGGGTGGTTTCAGGCGCAATTTGGATATTGTTGCCACTTTACATGCCCATCTGTGTTCATTTATGATCATGAAACCCACCTGCAGTGCCTGGAAACATGCCCTAAACACTGAAAGAATTTTTAGTAGGTTTTGATGGGTATCAAGTCTTAACACAATTTTAAATAATAACTTTATACATACAAATTTCCAAACTTTATTTACAATGGCTTATGAAAAAACTGAGGCAAAGAAAGGTTAAGAGGTCAGACAGCTAATACACAGAACTAAGAATCAAATCCAAGAGCTTGCGATCTTAATTACTATATAATACAGTTTCTCAAAACAAAGAGGGACAAAGAGTTACAACAGACATTATGAATATTTTAAAAATCTTGTTGTATTTTGGTTCTGAGGCTTGAGAGAAATTTCTTTGGTCTTTGTGAAAGCGATAAGACAGCAAAATGTGCTATGCAGTAGACTAGACCCTTAGCTGCCCTCCACTAATGCAGCAGTCCTTTGTACAATAGCAATAAATAATCCATGCATGTAATGGTTGTTCAAAAAATAAAAGTCACAAAATTTCGCACATGAGAGGAACTTCAGAGAT